AAAATATTCAGTACAATAGTATGTTTATATTGTTCATATTGGTAATAGTACCTTAATTTTATTTATAATAGAAATAATATAATTATATGATATATGAAGATATAGGATCGTTTTATTTTCGGTAATTAGTATAATATTCAGTAGAATAGTATGTTTATATTATTCATACTGGTAATAGTACCAATATGAACAATTTTTATTAGATTGTTATTGCAATAATTACAGATACTAATTTTTATTATAATGAAAATATATAAAATCATTAATTGTATAAATATAATATTTACACACTTTTTATAATTGTTATTGAATTTTAGTTATCATAAAATTAGAATAAATATATTTCTAAGTAATAATTATCATTAAAAAGTATAATTACTATATGATTCGTGGATGTCAAATTTTGTGTGAACTATAGTACAACACTTACTATATTTATAATATCAATAAAAAAACAAATATACCAATAAAAAAACACTACGGCAGTACAAACACGGTACATACGTACATTTATAATATCAACAAACAAGATACATATTTACATCATATACATATGTATGTGTATGCGTGGGAATATTTGAATAACGGAAAAATATTTTCCTTAATAGAAACCATAGTCATCAATATATAAACTTGAAATTTTTCTTTCAAATGGTTACCAATTTACAATGGATTCAGACACTTGACGCCTAAAACATTTTCTCATTAGTAGTCACTTGCATGTAAAATACGTGTTTCACCATTCACTGATCTTTTCCTAGCTGCATGAACAAAAAAAAAATGGCATCAAAACCCTTTTTCATGGCAAGATTTTATAGCAAAAACTTCTCACAAGTTCAAACCTGCAATATCATAATTTGTTGGATATATTTAAAGATATGTAGATTTTAAATCTTGCTTATTAGTTCAAATTTGCCTACAATATTCTTATAACATTGATATATAAAAAGCCTTAAAGAAATTTTTTAGAATCCAAACAAAAAATTCTGGAATTTTTTGTTTTATTATTTTTCACTTTTTCCAACATTTTTTTCCATCTAGTCATTCTCACACATAATTAGTAAGTCGGGGACTTTCAATAACTCGGTTTACTTTAAAATAGTAAAAAAAATCGTTTTTATGTTAAAAAATCGGATGAAAAAATCAGATAAAAAATACAAATCAATAAAAATACTTATGTAAAGATATCACTAAAAAAATCGGATAAATTTTTAATTAATACTTTAGGTGTCTTTGCATATCGTACTCGAGGAGCTTGCTTTCATAGATGATTCGAATCCTAAGCTGTGTTTTCACTGCCGAAATCAATGGTGGGCGCTGGAAAAGCGCGCCAGTGAGGGTCTCGAGAGCTCGAGCTACCTTTGCGACATCAGGAACAGAGGAATGGAGCCTAGCTATGCAAACATATTCCTTCCCCGCCCCTTGCTGAGATTTCACAAGGCGGGTAGCTCTATCAATGCAGACTATCAATGAACCAGGGACCTTGGGATTGAGAGTTCCGCTATGGCCAGTTTTCGAGACCCTCAGGATGCGTTTTATCCATGCCACCACCTCAGGAGAAGATGGGTTCGCTGGTTTATCGAGGTTTATGATGCCATAACGAATGTACTCTTCGAATGGCCGCTTCAATGGAGAAAAACCAGAGGGGATTGGGGTGTAATGGCCTGTTCTCGCATTGAGGCGGTCATAGTTTTTTAGGAGAATAGGCCAATGAGAGGTGTCTAGAGAGGGCGTGAAGGTCTGGGGTTTTATGAGGTAATCATTATCGGCCTGTTCTTCCCCTGAAACTACTGGTTCCTGGCTTGGAATCGGGTCAAAAAAAAAATCTGCACAACTTCTGTTACAAGCTTAGAACTAATGGTTCAAACAAAAATCTGCAAAATAATTTTGTTCAAAAAAAAAAACAACTAATCTGCACAACTAATGGTTAAAAAAAAAACGGTTTAAAATTTAGGTTTAAAAAAAAATCTGCACAACTTGTGTTCCAGGCTTAGAACTAATGGTTAAAAAAAAAAACAACTAATCTGCGCAACTAATGGTTCAAAAACAACCATTTAAACTTTCCGTTAAAAACAAAACGTTTTTTTGTCCAGTTTTTTCGTTCCTCATAAAAATGCGTATGTAACGGAATTATGGCAAAATTGTGATTTATTGCCGAACTTTTCAAAAAAAAAAACGGCGATTGTTAGTCGCCTATTTGCTAACTATGCTCTCACTACCTCCATGTCATCACATCGCACAAATGCGTCCTCTATCTCTTTTATATACGTGCTCCCTCCCTTCCACTTGGTGGGTTTTCTTAAGTAGGCAGTTAATGTAAAACTTTGTGCAAAACTTCTTATGAATTTTAAATATTCGATATGGGCGAGGATTCATGTAGCTGACTCCAATTGGTTAGAAAAACACTTTGACGATAATGATTTATTATATTTTAATTTCACCATATCAAAAAAAGTTATTAATGAAAAATCTTAAAAGTATTTTCTAACGTATTAAACACAAGTGTCATGACCATAGTGTGACAACATGTACGAAAAAATTATAAAAACACATCCCTATCACCTGGATCGTGATTTCGAGCTTGAGTAATTAGGTTTGAGCGTTGTTTCTCTCCTCCTTTCTTGGCAAAAAAAAATCTCTCTCACAATGCTTTGCAAGTTTTGAGATGGAAGTTTAAAAACACTTTCACATGGCTAGATCCACTTTTCTATAAATCAAACGTGGAAAGTGAAGGCCTCTAAGGGAAGTTCTCTTTTGAAAAGAGCTTCCACTAAGCCGAACAACGACTTATCGTAGCAACTAGAGTCCTCTCTTTCTGGCCATCTTTAATGGTGTAGAGGGAGAGAGAAAGAGAGGAGGGAGGGAAAGAGCTCCAGATTTGAGTGTGTTTGATAAACAAAGAAAAGGAGAAATAGGTGAGAAAAGATAATGGCTGAGGCATTTTCATCCCAAATACCATTACGTTTTCAATTCGGGTTTCTACGAGAATAAAGAGAAGGAAAATTAATCAAAATATCTATGAGAGATGCAGTATTTAACTTTTTATACATTTGTCATTGCTCAAACTTGTGATCATGTGTCTTTTGGTAGGTATTTCAAGGCTAAATTAAACTATAGGTAAATGTTAAATAGTCCATCTCTAATAGGTATTTTGATAAATTTCCCTAAAAATAAAAATAAAGTTATAAATCGGCCAATTAAATGGCAGGTTTCTTATGAAGTTAATTTATATTAGAGACATTAAAAAAAAAAGATTGCTAAGAAAAAGACTCTGGCAAATGAATCAATAAAAGAACATCCATTTCAATCTCAAAGGCATATCAAAGGTTCTGTCGACCGATCAGATCCGATCCTCCAAACAAACAAAACCCCATTACCAAATCTCCACCGTCGACGACATAACAGGATCACATCCGGCATGTGCCACCAGGCAGAACGACGCCATTTCCGCCTCATTAACAAATTCCCCAGCCACCAAATAAAAAAGGATAAAAGAAAGAATTTCAATAAAGAGAAAATCAAAGAATTACAAAAGCATGACAGTTCAGTTTCAGCTAACAAACCCCACCTTCCTACTCCTAAAGACCTCTAAATCTAAAGACATCACCCATACTCCTACACACACTCTCCCTTCTCTCTCTCTCTACACGCTATCACACTTCAAAACTGCTAAAATTTCAATTTCACTTTCACTTTCATTATCACCCTCCTAGACCTATCTTTCTCCATTCTACCACACCTAAAAACCCTATATCGACTTACCCAAATACAAAAAAGAACCCTACATTACACCTTGCTCCTGCCCCATATATTATACCTCAAAAGTGTCAAAATGCCCCATTCACCCCTTCCCACTGTACAGTCAAAAGAAAGAAAAAACACCAAAAAGAATTTCTATTTTCTGCCATTTTTTGAGGAAATCTCAGTAATATTGCCCCCCAGAATGCACCAAGAACCCCTGGCCATGGGCCCCATTTGGCCTCGGACTCGAATCCCCGCATCCCCTCTTTGCAAGCCTGCTCAGGCCTGCCGGGCCCATGCCTCCATCCTCCGGGCCTGTGGGCCTACGGCTCCCAAGTCCATCTGAAGCCCGATTCCCAATCCTCACCCTCATCTCCAACACTTTCTTGTGCGAATTCGAGTGCAACGACGCAACAAACGTTGGACTCGCCGCAGGCCTATACTCTGGAAATAGCCTCCCGGACTTGTATCGAACTCCACATGCATTACACAATGTTTTTGGTCCTAGTGGTCCAGTACGCCATTGAGGGGTCTTCTGGATCTCACAGTGCGTGCACTTCCGCCCCAATTGTGAGGTGGGGCCAGCCGTACTAGGACCGATCGTATTGGGAGTGGGTCCCATGGTTGGAGTTGTGGTTGGCTTCTTTTTGAGGGGTCGTGACTCTGACTCCACAATGTGAGTGACCGAGTCAGGGGACGCAGGGGAGGGGGTGACGGTGGTCACAGAAGAGGACGGCGACAGAAGGGGCAGGCGAGCAGTGAAGGGTGGGGGGCGTGGGCGTTTGGTACGTGCTCGACCTGGGACCGCACTCAGAATAGCAGCCGCGGCAGCTGCGGTAGTGATTGTGCTGGCGGCAGAGGATGATGACGATGATGATGAAGAAGAAGATGAAGTGTCAAGGTTGGAAGCAGAGGAGTCTTGTTGGTGGTGGTGGGGGACAAGGGGGAGTGGGTTAGCAGGGCTGGGAGAGAAGGAATCCTCCACAAAGATTGAGAGCCACTCCAGCTCCGGCATGTCATCACACTAAAAGCATACAAAAGCGAAAAATAATTAGTTACATTATGTAATTAGAACAGCAAAATAACATTACGTGATTCCAAACAAATTAAAAATAAAATTACGTAACTTGAAGCAAAAAAGAAAAATAAATTTTGTGATTAGAAAATGAACTCGAAATTGGAGACAGGTAAATATCCGATCAATAAATAATGTGTGTACATCCTTTAGACTCTGCAAGCTTTTACTTAGTGCCAATGATTTCATCGGTTTGATTGAGTCCCACTTGGTGTCCATCACCGTCCAAGGTATTGGCTGGACGGCGGTAATGCTCGTGACCATACCATTATTAAGATATATTCGTCATAGTACATTTTCCTTACGCAGCAAAATATACACACTAGTTGTTATATTATCATCCGAGCTTTATTCTAATTATTTGAGGTCTATTTCAGAACACCACAATAATCATATAATCCTCATAACTATAAAGAGTCCACACCATAGAGTCAAGGGAGTTGGCAATGCCCAATTAATATAGTTGGATGGCGATGGCAAGAGATGCCTTCGAGAAAAACAAAATACATGACTCAAATGGCAGGTCTCAGCCTCTCCCCATCGCTGTCCAACCATTGATTAGATGGTGATGCCACCGTGACCATGAGCTTTACAGTATACCTTTCCGTTGTTGAGTGATATGCTCCTTTCACCACACAATATTGCAAGACCTATGGTGGGCTAAGCTTGGAGGTTGATGATATGACTTACGAACAAACGGCCATAACAATAATTAAAATTGACTATTTGCCCCTTTAAATAATGATGTGAAAACCTATTGGAAAAGTTTATACAAGTGTTAAGCTCTAAACAATCAAATTAGAGCGCACCTCAAAAATTTCACTAGAAGAGGTTGTTTTGATGTTCAAATATCCTCAAATTGATCATCTCGATCTCAATATACATGGACATGAAAAAAAAATGGATTTCAAGTTTTGAAAATAGTGCATCTTGTAATGCATTTTTAGACTGGCAAATTTCAAGATTTTCAAATTTTCATAGATCTTCTCGATCTAACACTATTTTTTAAACTTTCAATTTTATAATTAGATATTAAAATGTATTTGAAGGCTATCACAAAGATTTTCAGTATTGAAACGATATTTGTCGACACTATTTGAAGATGTGCTTTACTTTGTTTTGAAGGTGCGCATGACTTTGATTGTTTAGAGCCTCAGCTCTATACAAATCACACCCAAATCTATTTCACATTTGATTATAAAATTTAAACCTCAAAAAATGGTGTTGCTCATATATAAAAACACTTGATAATCGTGAACATGAACGGCCTAGATAATATATTAAAAATGTATTATTTTTAAGAATTGAAATTCTTATTTTCCATATCCGTACATCTCAAAGGCCGACATAATCAAGGGTTTTTTAGCATCAAAACAATTTTTTTATGCGGATTTTGGAGGTGTACCTTATTTCTACAATATAAAGTTGGCACTTTTCCCAAACTTTTTTTCTTTTAAAAAGAATAGTTTTATAATAAAAATCATTTTCTTAATATGATTTCTAGGTGTATGATGCCGTGTCCACAGTCCCGGTAGAACTGATTTTTGAAACATTTTTTCAAAATTCAAACATTTGTAGTTGAACGCAAAGATGGAGAGCACACCGGGCTTAAAGATTCAAAAGACGCAAGAGCTCTTTCATTTTCTTTCTTTTTCTTTTCTTAATTTTTTTTTAAGTTTTTTACCTTAAAAGCAAGCGAAGGGCATCAATACGTAAAACCAGCTTTCCCACCCAACAAAAATAAACAAGCATCACTGTTGCAGAGCTAAAATAGAGACCCCAGAGAGAGAGAGAGAGAGAGAGGGAGATAG